CAGCCTCACTGTGGTTTGTTTCCATAGCCGGTCTGCTCCATGTGCAGCTGAGTAAAGCAACTGAAACTGCTGTTTTTATCATCTACGTCAGTGCATTAAGGATTTATTTGCCAAACCGATGTTACGATGTGGTACGAATTAAAATGACTAAACTAAATTATTATTATTTTGTCTATTGAGTTTGGTGGCAAGCAATAGCAATATTACAGCTGTTTCTGGTAAAACAAAAGGTATATCTCTGTAGGGATCCTTTCCATAATGTTGTCAGACTCTTAGAAAAACAATCTGAGCCTGCCAGTGGCAAAAACAACAGCTTTTAGTGGACAGAGTTTGGTGGATGCATTTGGATTGGACGCAAAGGATTAGCTTGGCTATAAACTTTTTTAACCCTAACTTGGTGAATTAAGCCTAGGTTTATTTTGACCAAACCAGAATTGGTGATAGTTGGAAAGACTGTGTAAAGACAGTTTTTGTGCGTTTTTTAAAATTTTGTTTCTATTCAGTTGAAAGTTTTGTGCAAGGTAAATTGATTGGGTCTGTCTCTGGAGTCTGGTGGGCCGTAACACCCAGTTCTTTTGTCTGAGATGCTGGTGCTCTAGTAAGACATATAGTAGAAGTGAATTCTGCGTTTATAACTTTTAACCCGCCGGAGCGGCTATTAACACCTTCACATACGCTGCCTGAGTGCATGTCAGCCCTAAGTTTCCTGACACATGTTTCCCTGTATAATGTCTATTAAAAAGTTATCATATACCGTTATGCATAAAAATCGGTACATGCGTAGATCTTATCCTGACATACAAAAAATCTCCCTGGAGTCATATCCTAAACCCAACAGGAAGTTGGCCATTTTGGATTTAGCAGCCATTTCTGGCGATTTGCACACGTTATATTATAACAAACTCCTTCTAGGGAATTTATCGGCGATTTTGATCTGATTTACATGAAATTTTCATGTTGTGGTCCACACGTGATACGCCGGCACATGACGCGACCACAGCACACCCGACATGCGGAGTGCAAGGGCCCGTTCCTTACTGCTTGCAGTTTTCATTGATTGTTGAGTCTCACTCAGAGTCACAAAGCATTTGCATTTGACACCTTGGAAATAAGACTCAACAATCAATTTCTCTTACAATCTTTCTCAGCTCTGATTGGTTGTTTTTGTTCAGGCCTAGTGGATTCTTGCAAATCTTGCCATGAGGAGCACTAGGAGGAGCCAGAGGACCCAGATTTTTTCACAAATTATCTGTCTCATGTACTACTGTCAGGATATAGTGAAGGTTATATATGACAAAAAGTTATTTATTATAAAAGATACCGACTGCAGCTTTAATGTTAGAGTTTATGTAATCCAGTTACTGCCAATCATGAACTGGATCCAATATGGAACAGCTGTCAGAACCTAATCCTACACATGACTAGTAAACTGAGCTTCAAGTGTAAAACGGGCGGAGTTCTCCTTTAGATATCTATGCATTCCATTTTGTGTAGTTTGATCTATGACACCTTCGCTTAGATCTGCAGCCAGACTTCATGAATAGACTTCATAGGGAGAAATACTGTAATAGGCTCAGGTCATGACACAGATCATAATTCACACACTATTTATGCCCTAATTTCCTCGGAAGCACCATGTGGGCATAGCAACTGCCACCTCTACTATGAAACCAAAGGTGCCCTCTGAGCTCCTAAAATCATAACTTTCATTCGATGTGTCTGTCTGCCATCCAAATTCCTGATATATCTAGGAAGAAGTGCCCCGAACCACGACTAAGACGCCAGATATTAGGGCATTGTGCCAAACATATGAATTGCACAGCTGCATAGCTGCATCTGGAGCTCAGGATGGACGTCAGAGCTCCATCTGTGTAAACTTCCACCAGTCAATAAATGTAAATTACTGTACACTAAATTGGTTTTACAGTGAGACCAGGATCATTAATAAAGGTGCAGTCTCTGTCTACAAGGCAGCTGGTGATTTCATCACTTACTGGTTCAGGTTCATACTTGTATTTGTAAAATGTTCAAAAAACACATTATTTTTGTCATACTGGCCATTGCTGCAGCTCCTCATTCACCCTCTGTCTGACACACTCCATTTTCTTTAAGGCAAGTCAAAACATACCAGCGAGGATAACAACAAGCTAGCTAAGCTGGTGCTAGCTGAGCTAAAACCAGCTGAGCTAGTACTAGCTGAGCTAACGCTAGCACTGCAGTATAAAGTTACACAGAAGCAACAAAAACAATTACTGGCATGCAACCTACTACTCCTGTTATTTCAAACAAGGCCTAACGTTGACACATTTATTGTCCCTCAATATTACAACGCTAGTCACATTGGCAAAATAAACAAAATAAACAGTAAGGCAACATAAATAGGGCAAAACCTAGAGCTTTCAAGTCTGAAGTTGAGTAGCGGACAGCTAGGTTAGGGTTTAATAATTGTTTTTCTGTTATTGAATATATTAAATGGTCCTTCCTCACTGATAATGTTTTAAGCATGGGAGTTTAGACAGTTCCTGTGATGCACTGTGAGGAGTCAATGCTCTTTGATTTGATCTGCTGAGGTCGCAGAGCGGCATCTTGTGGCCATGGATGTCAAAGCAACTTCATTAGTAATTTAATACATGTAAGATAATTACTGCATGACTTCTGAGACTATAGCCAGGGTTGGCTGTTATTCCAAAATGTAGCCTGTGAACTTTTGATGAAACAGTTCTATCTGTGACATCCATGCCACCAAAACCCCACTGCTGGTCATCCTCACCTTTATCAGGGGTGGTGGGCGGAGAGCAGCATACAAATAGAAACAATTTCCGACCCCTTAAAGGTCCAGTGTGTAACATTTAGGAGGATCTATTAGCAGAAATGGAATATAATATTCATAGGTATGGCACAGG